TGTCACCTGATCACACCCGAAGACATCCATCCGAACTGTCCTCCTCACCAGCAATGATGCACTACGGCAGCGCTGGTAATATAAACGACCGTTGGTTCAGTCATGAGCCGCCACACCATCATCAGGCAATCCGAGATCGTACCGCGAGTCCTGCGTATTCCTCACTGGATAGACATCGAGTCAGTAGTCACTCATCTTGTCACTTGGCTTCATTTGGCTTGTTTCAGGCAATGAATGAGATTGAAAATATATTATATATTTTTGTTGTTATACTGAGGAATTTATGTGAATTAAGTGCAAGAGGGCGAACGGTGTAATAATGATATCGATAGATTTCTGCTAGTGAAAAGTGAATGATATTGATAGCTGGATGTTCAGAGGAAGAATGTATTAGGAACAGGTGGTGTGGTGTGCTATTGAGTGTTGCCGTAGGGTTGGCTGGCTTTTGTCGATTCGATATCAGGGCTTATTTATAACTAGCTTATCGATATAGTGTATATTGTGTGAGTGTTTATATTAATGTTTACGATCGACTAACTTTATTTATTTATCTAGTAGTTGCCTACTCCCACGTAAGGCAGATAGATGGTCAGTTGTTTTAGTGGTTGTTCATTCTAAAAAACATTGTTGTCACTGGTTTTTATGAGAGTAAGAAATTAAGATGTTGAAGAACGTATTGAAGATGTTAATTAGAGCGAGTGTGTTAACTAGAAGTAGTGAGTCTTTGATAACAAGTCGAGGAGATGGGCAGTGAGTGAGCCGTATTAGGTAGGTTTGGTGATCTAGTTATAATATGATGAAACTTTTTGAGCATTTTTACAATGTAATTATAAGGAATGGTTTCAGGATGACTACAATCGTTATGAGACGGCAAGACATAGCCATACGAAGAATATTCAACGAACACGACACGATGAAGAAAGTGATCGCAGTCGCTTCTCGGGTTACGGGGATAGACCGGGATCAGGCGTCGAATTTGCACCGTCCAAATGGCATGGTGGGGAGGTTGGTTGTATGATCATGATTGGCTATTGATAAAGAATCTTATTGATCATCACTGATCATTTAACAGATCATCACGGATCGTCGGCAACTACCGAAGTCATTGAAACCACGACGCATCTATTATTCACCGATTGGCGATGGCGTTGTGGCCGCAGATGGTTTGGAGATGAAGCGACAACCCAAAGATATGTCACCACGAATATCAGTGACACAAACACGTGTCGTCGAGAGGGGTGCTGATCCGGGCAGAGATGGCTACAATCTTTATGAGAAACACCTTACGCATAGTCAGTATTTTTTGTTCGAGTTATTGCAATTGTGATGCATGGCTATTGTTAATGCTGCTAGTTACAGGTGGTGCTGCTAACGAATACGATAGTGAATATGGTGGTGCTGGTGGCGGCGGTACGAGTGGTCGAAATTCACGCAGTACTGGAGCGTTTTCACCGAGTGAGTAGTTAGTTGTGTTGCTTAAGAAATGAGTTGATTGATTCGGCCACATGGAAGCAATTTTATGTGGTTATATCTTTTGAAGGTGGAGATAGTTATGTTGGGATGGGCGGTGGTGCTGGTACGCTGCAGTATTCACCGGGTTCGGTAGGTGCTGCTAGTGGTGGCGCTGGTGCTCTAGCAGGAGCTGCACCTGGACATGGATCTGAATCTGGGCTTGGGTCTGGGCAGCTACCTGGGCCTCCCAGAGGAGAGTATCATCGGTCAGGCGCAGTCACCCCAAAGCATGTGCAGCATGCTCCGCCATCCAATTATCATCATGCACAACGGGAACGAGACTACGGAAACGAACCACTTGGAGACATCTATCCGCTGAGTGGCTCTGCGTCATGTGCGCCCAGATATATGCCAGCTGGTGGTGGCATTACTGGTAGTGGTGTTGGACGATTTTATAGTAGTAATACACCAACTCCAACAAATAGTCCATTAGCTGCAGGTAATCTTTTCGTTTTTAGAACTTTTTTCGTTGTTGACTTATTTGGTTGACTTGCAACAGTGAAACATATGAAAGAAACGTCAACGAACAGTCAGTCAACTTTCATAATCATAAAAGTCATCTATAAAATCATAGAAGTGTACGGCAGTAGCGCGCCTGCATCAAACTACACAACGTTGGCATCTCGTGCAGCTGCCGGAACTGCGGATCATCCATCGGCCACCTTTCATTCAGCACATCATTCCGAGAGTTGCTACACATCGGATTACAAAGGTACTTTGAACGATATTTTGGGAGATTTTTATAACATTACGCGATCATTTTATAAGATTATGCGATTATTTTATTTAAAAAGTATTTGATGAATGCAGGCAGCCAAGAAAAAAAAATTTTTTAGCAACTAGATCGCGAAGTCATGATCCTGCAACGGATGGTTTTGATGGCTTAAGTGCTGCTGGTGGATATGCTGGTAGTGGTGGTGGTGGTGCTGGAGGACCTCATTATTATGGTGGAGCGGGCATGGATGGACGATCGAGTGGTACGTTGGTTGTGTAGTTGTGATTGTTGATGTGGTGGTGTGAGTCAGGGAGGGATGGATTGTCTTCAGATTTTAGAACAGTTGCAGCAATTTTGAGAAATTGGTTTGTTTACAAATTATTATGAAGCTGTTAGATAATCTGTATAAGCTGAGCGTATCGTATCGTGGCGGTGAGAATTAGTGCTCAATTAGGACGCGGATAAACTCTTCACCACTGTTTGCTGACGACTTTACTTTGGCTGTTTGGCTTTACTTTACCTTAGCCAGTAGCCATGGCCATATGGTTGCTTGGAAAATGTGATAGACTTGAAGGGTTTGAAAAGAGATTTGAAAAGTGGTTATGAAAAGCATCAAATTAGGTGATTGCAGCCGCATCAGGTTATTCGTACTCACTGAGGACGGACTCACCGCGACGATACGATACGCTCAGCACAGATTATCTGATAACAAATCCTCGTGAGCTGATCCATCAATACGCGACAACTACGCCGGTGGCTGTGCTCGATGTGAATAATGCGAACGACAGCTTATCTCGAGGAGATGCTCGAGCAGCCGCATATACAAACTCAATGGCAGCGACAACGACTGAAGAGAGGTCTTAAACTTTAACTTAAACTACAACTTTTGAACAATTATAACCATTCTTATGGCTCTAGCTATCTTACTTCTCTTGCGCTATCTCTCTGTCCTCTTATACTTTATATCCTACTATATAATATATCTATCCTGTTATACTAAGCTGCTCTCATAAGCTTGTAAACTGTTCCAGATACGCACCGTATCCGCCCTACAGAGGTTCCGAAACAACCGTGCACCCGAACAATTTCGTCAGGCAGCTTCGAGACGAAAGTAAATCGCTTATTTATTGGTTATAGATATTGTTATTAAAGTGATTGTTTTACATTTGTTTATAATATGAGACTGCTGATGGGTGGTAGGGTTGATATTGAGGCGTTTCGATGTGACAGAATATGTGTGGGTGATGGATGCTTTCAATACTAGATTTGACGATATCGCAACGTGAGGCGAATCGTCACATGGAGCCGCTGAATCCAAAAGGATCAAATTACGAGCAGAAAATTTACGAGCTCCGTAATCGAACCACAACGAAAGGAGGAACGAATATGGGTGACGAAATCGACTATTTAACTGAAAGAATGATGTACGGATTGCAGACTGGTCATCCCACACCGCCACAATTATAAAATTTGGATGATCCCGTCGGATTGTCACCAAATGTCACTTTTGGAGTATATTTTACATTTGTTCATTTTATTTTTACCAATGAACTGATCCAATATTTGACAGAATGTATTGTTTTGTATTTTTTTGCATAACTTATATATAAATCATTGTTATGTATAGATAAGCGTCATAGAGATAATAATCACCCATACAGAGACGTAATATCGATTGATTATTATAAATATGTTGTTTTTAAAAGACCTACTCTCATTCGCGTTAATTGTCAGTGTCATTAATGTTATTGTATTACGGTGCAATGCTTTGCATTCATTTGCTATCAGCCACCTCAATGTCTTCTATCTTATTGGATATTTGACAATAAGATAGACAGACACTGAAGTGGCTGATAGCAAAGTGTAATAATATCTGTTAAACCATTGGATATCTTTTAAAAAACTGTGCCAATGCTAGTCATTTACTTACTTTATTCAGTATATAATCGCTGTTATTGTACACTGTACTTGGTATTGATGTTATGATTATGATTTTGACTTGACTGATGTATTTTATGAGGTTTTTTCATATAATGAGTGGTGTTTTTTGCAATAAATATCGATATGAGCATTTATATGTACTCTTTTTCACTATT